AAAAATAAAATAAAATGCTGGAATTGAATGAGACCAGAGTTCAGAAACTAAAATGCCTAGAGAGGTCTGATAAAAACAAAAGAGAGCAGAGCGCAGGTGTACATAGAGAGAGTGGTGGGGGCTGGGAACACTGGCTCATGCCTGTAATCCCAGCACTTTGGGAGGCCAAGGTGGGTGGATCACCTGAGGTCAGGAGAGCAAGACAAGCCTGGCCAACATGGTAAAAGCCCCATCTCTACTAAAAATACAAAAATTAGCCAGGAGTGGTGGCAGGTGCCTATAATCCCAGCTACTTGGGAGGCTGTGGCAGGACAACCACTTGAACCCAGGAAACAGAGGTTGCAGTGAGCCGAGATTGTGCCATTGCACTCTAGCCTGGGTGACAAGAGCAAAACTCCATCTCAAAAAGAGAGAGTGGTGAGGACGGTGGCGAACTAGAGAGCGCAGGCCACATCCCAAGGAGACAGCTGTAACTCAGCTCCAATCAAATTTGCCCCGCTGGATTGTGGGTCCAGTTTTGATTAGTCATCCATCTTTTCAAAAGAAACTGAGAATTCAGATATTTATGGGAAAGACTTTGATTTTTAAGGGTTAGCCACCAATTTCCCAGCACTTTGGGTGGCCAAGGCAGGAGGATCACTTGAGCACAGGTGGTCAAGACCAGCCTAGGCAACACACCAAGACCCTATCTAAGAGAGAAAGAGAGGAGAGAGAGAGAGAGAGAGAGAGAGAGAGAGAGAGAGAGAGAGAGAGAGAGAAGAAAAAAAGAAAGAAAAAATACAAGAGAAAAAGATAGAAAACAAAAATTTTAAAACCTATGTAGCCAAGCAAGTGTATCTATCAACTAGAATGGGCTTTCTGGCTACCAATGTGTACATTATAGACCAGATATAAAGGTTTTCTCAGCTCATGTTGTCTGTAACTCTAAATTCCTGCAAGGCGAAGCCTTGAGTAGGTTCCTTGACCTTTCTGGGTCTCTTTCCTCAGCTGTGGAATGAGGATGTTGGTCCCTGTTTGGTCTATCCCACAGGTTACTGTGAAATCCCAGTAAGATAGTAAATATTTTGCTTCTTGTTAGTATAGAAGGAAGGAAGGAAGGAAGGAAGGAAGGAAGGAAGGTAGGTAGGAAGGAAGGTAGGAACTTTGCAGATAATAGGACGTGGCAATTATGAGGAATTATTGTTGTTTTTTACTTTTTTTCTCTGTTGCTTTATTTTACTTTTAGCGCCTGTCTGCTGTTGAACATGAGGGATTATTTTAACTTCAGGGGAGATAACCTAACCCAAAGACAAATACCTATATGAAAAAAAAAAATACCCTTCAACAGAGTTTACTGTGTCTTGCATTTGAATATATAAACATCAGATCATATTGAAAAGGCCAGAGAGAACTTACTCTTCCATCCGGAGTCCTGGGACCAGAATAAGGTGGAACTTCACCCATGAGAACCGGCCACACATCAAAAAATTCCTAGGGATGAAAAACAACAATAATTACATGTTTTGAAAAGAGATCAAGAAAAGGAGATTAAGAAGTCCCACCTATATGAGTCAGCTAACACTGAAATTTAGAAAGTGAGACGAGCTCATGAAAACTAAGCTTGGAAAGGCAGTAAGATTCACCACAGTTAGAAAATATCACATTTGCCCTTCAAAATATTGCTGACTGGGCCTGTCTAGTCATTAGCCAAAAACATGGGAGCTGAATTGGGGCACCCTCACTGTTATTGGACATGAGAGGGAAAGTAGGGTCTCTATGACTAAGAAATTTACCGTAAGACCATGCTAAACACATCCTCAAAGGTTTAGCTAAAACAATGTTCCAAGCAGTATCATTTATAGTAGTGAAAAATTATAAACAAACTAAGTGCCCAACAGGAAAGGACTTACTAAATCAAATGGTGTATCTATTAACAACGATGTCACAGATGTATGTGTGCTGATTGAAAAGATGCCCATTCTCCACTGACAAGTGAAACATGTGAGAGGCGACAAAGAATATATCACGTGACCCTAATGTTCAATTATACATAGAAAATGTTGTGAATATATTTACAACAAAGTTTTTTTTTTTTTTTTGGAAACAGGGTCTTGCTTGTTGCCCAGGGTGGAGTGCAGCAGCTCTATCTCAGCTCACTGCATCCTTCATCCCCTGGGTTCAAGTGATACTCCTGGCTCAGTCTCCTGAGTAGCTGGGATTACAGGCGTGTGCCACCATATTCAGCTAATTTTTGTATTTTTAGTAGAGATGTGCTTTCACCATGTTGGCCAGGCTGATCTCGAACTACAGACCCCAGGTGATCCGCCTACCTTGGCATCCCAAAGTGCTGGGGTTACAGGTGTGAGCCACCACACCTGGCCCACAACTAAGTATTAACAAGTGGTTCTCTCTGAGTGATTGGAGTCAGACTGTAATTTATTTAGGAATTTTTTTATAATAAACTTTATTGCTTTTGTAATAAGGGAAAAATATTTTCGCAAATAAGAAAGAAAGAAAATCATGCTAAATATGGACAATAGACCTATATCTGGGATCCAATAGGAAAGGCTGACACCTGTAAGACAAGTGGCTGCTAAAGCAAAACACGCAGGTGCCTTAGCCTGAGGCTGTCTCTGTTCTTCCAATTCCCATGTACGAATGAGTTCCTACAGAACAAACTGCAACCTCAGTAGACAAACAAACAAAAACCCAATTTAGGAGTATACTACTCTAACAAGTTGGTCGAGTTTCAGCCAATCACAGGCAGCCCAGTTGATCCAACAGTACCCAAATAAGGCAAATGCCCTATTGTAGCTAATCTGAATCATGTTGTTTCTAGATTTTACTTCCATGTTCAGCTATAAAAGCTCACTGGCCATGTCATGCAGCAAAGTTCTTTGAACCTCTTCTGGTTTTGAGGGTTGCCCAATTCATGAATTGTTCTTTGCTCAAATAAACTCTTTTGAATTTGTTTTGTCTAAAACTGGCCAAGGCTGGATGTGGTGGCTCAGGCCAAGGTGGGTGGATCACTTGAGCCCAGGAGTTTGACACCATCCTGAGCAACATGGCAAAACTCCGTCTCTACCAAAAATACAAAAATTAGCCAGGTGTGGTGGTGTGTGCCTGTAATCCCAGCTACTCAGGAGGCTGAGGCAGGAGAATCGCTTGAACCTGAGAGGGGGAGGTTGCAATGAGTTAAGTTCGCACCACTGAACTCCAGCCTGGGTGACAGAGTGAGATCCTGTCTCAAATGAATAGATAAATAACAGATAAATAGAAGTAGCCAAGACACAGGCAGAGGGAAGAGGAAAAAGAGCCAGTAAAGGAGCTGTATAATCATGAAGCCTCAGGAAAGGCCAACTGTGAACCACACGGGCTCTTCCCCACTACTTCTTCATGGGTTTCCTTTGCGAATAGAGCTGCAAAGCTTGTGTGGAGTCAAGTCCGGGCCTGGCAGAGGAGCGTCCATCCTCCAGTGCCCTCTCTGTCCATTCATCTGTTACTATACAGGGACAAACCGTGATCCGTTAGCACGGGGTTTCTGTGGGTAGGATGCCAAGCCCTCCTTGTTCCTCTCATTTGAACATGTTTTCCACGGTGGTTTGCTTATTCTGATACCAGAGGAGCAGAAGGGAAGCCACATGAAATGCAGAGTCCACATCTTTGCCCTTCTCCCCACTTGAGCTCTTTTTCTAGGCTACCAACAACAGGAAGAAATTTAATTCTAGATGAAAATTTAGAAAAAAAAATTTAATGGGTGAAAATATAATGAGGCCCTACCTGAGCCCCACAACCTGCTTGCCGCTGGGTATATACAGGTGAATAAGGCACAGTTTGTATCCTGGAAGAACATATTTTCTCATGAAGAAGGTAATGAATAGTGCAGTAAATGAGGCAAGAACCAAAACAGTGCTGAAAGGAGAGTACAAATGCTAGAGGAGCGCAGAAGAAGAACACATATATTGGCCTGATACCTCATGTGGGCCGAACACTGAGTGGATCCAAAGATCGTCCCAAGGAGAAGAGAACTTGTCAAACAAGGGGTTGTATGGTGAGCTGGACGTGGCTATGACTTCTCCCTCTTTCCTTCCATCCCTTCCTCCCTCCCCCTTTCTTCCTTTCTTTCTTAACAGCTTAATTGAGATATAATTCACATATCATCTGATTGTCCATTTAAAGTGCACAAATCAACAGCTTTAATAACTTTTTTCATAATGGCAATAGCTCAAGTAAAATCTTAACTGCCCGATTCTTAGCGTGCAGGCAGCCGAGAGCACTTACTTGTATTTATTCGGGCTTTCATCTCACACTTTTTTTTCTTTTTGGAGACAGGATCTTGCTCTGTTACCCAAGCTGGAGGGCAATGGTGCGATCCTGGTTCACTGTAGCCTCAACCTTCTGGACTCAAGCAATCCTCCTTCCTTAGCCTCCCAAGTAGCTAGGACTGCAGGCATGTGCCACTAGGCCCAGCTAATTTTTGAAATTTTTTATAGAGACAGAGTCTCACTATGTTGCCCAGGCTGCTCTTGAATGCCTGGGCTGAATCGATCCTCCTGACTCAGCCTTTCAAAGTGCGGGGAGTACAGGTGTGAGGCGCTCTGCCCAGCCTCATAGCCCACTTCTAATTACGAAATTGCTCAATCTTTTGAGGATGACTAAGTTCAGTACTCTCTTTTTGTTGTTTTTTTGAGATGAGATCTCCCTATATTGCCAGGCTGGTCTCAAACTCTTAGGCTCAAACAATCTTCCTGCCTCAGACTCCAAAATAGCTGAGACTACAGGTGTGTATCACCACACCCAGCTCAGAATATTTTTGCTCAAGAGTAGTTTTCCCTTTTGAGAGGCAGGCACTTTAAAATAAACAGAGAACAGATCACTACAGCACGCAGTGGCCTAAGCCTGAGACCAAATCCTGCTGCAAACTGGGAATGGTAACTTTGGAATGGAGTCCTTTGAATTCAATTACACAAAAATGTTAATTTTTTTAAAACTTTTTTTATTTTTTAGGCTAGTTAAGTGAAGCAGTGGTGTGGAGAACAAAGAAATCTGTAACCGGTTGTGATTAATTAGGTGCAAACACCACTCAGACCAGCCAGAAATTATTTTGATGAAAAAGTAATCATTTGTTTGTATGAATTCATTCATTTGCTACTTCCTGAAGGAGAAACAAAGGGCATATTGCTGAGCTTAGCAATATTTGGCAAGATATTTATGAATTAAGAGTGTACAAGGCCAGGCGTGGTGGCTCACGCCTGTAATCCCAGCACTTTGGGAGGCCGAGGCAGGAGGATCACCAGGTCGGGAGATCGAGACCATCCTGGCTAACGTGAAACCCTGTCTCTACTAAAAATACAAAAAATTAGCTAGGTGTGGTGGCAGTCTCCTGTAATCTCAGCTACTTGGGAGGCTGAGGCAGGAGAATCGCTTAAACCTAGGAGGCGGAGGTTGCAGTGAGCCAAGATCATGCCACTGCACTCCAGCCTGGCAACAGAGGAAGACACCGTCTCAAAAAAAAAAAGAAGTATATACAAAAATCAGATGAGGCAAGTCATGGCGTCTCACACCTATAGCCCCAACACGTTAGGAGGCCAAAGTGGGAGGATGGCTTGAGCCCAGGAGTTCGAGACCAGCCTGGGCAACATAGTGAGACCCTGTCTCTAGAAAAATTTTTTTTAATCAGATGAATGGTTTCACTAGAATCAGAGGTTCCCTAAAACCAGTATGTGGCCCAACTGCACAGAATCACTTAAGGAGCTATTATAAAGATCAGACAAACAGGCCAGTTGTGGTGGTTCAGGCCTGCAATCCCAGCACTTTGGGAGGCCAAGGCAAGTGGACCACCTGAGGTCAGGAGCTCGAGACCAGCCTGGTCAATATGATGAAACCCTATCTCTACCAAAAATACAGATATTAGCTAGGCGTGGTGGCACATGCCTGTAGTCCCAGCTACTCGGGAGGCTGAGGCAGGAGAATGGCTTAAACCCAGGAGGTAGAGGTTGTAGTGACCTGAGATCGTGCCATTGCACTCCAGCTTGGGTGACAGGGCAAGACTCTGTCTCACACTCACACACACACACACACCAACAACAACAACAAAAAGATCAAGCAAACAAACAGAACCCCAGAAAAGTACGAACCATGTATATGAACATTTGGTATCTGATAATGCGACTTCTCAGAATGGTGGTACTTTAAAATTGTATATTTCCTTGACCAGGCACAGGGGCTCACACTTGTAATCCCAGCCCTTTGGGAGGCCAAGATGGATGTATCGCTTGAGGTCAAGAGTTCAAGACCAGCCTGGCCAACAAGGCAAAATCCTGTGTCTACTAAAAAATACAAAAATTAGTCAGGCGTGGTGATGTGTGCCTGTAACCCCAGCTACTTGGGAGTTGAGGCAGGAGAATCACTTGAACCTGGGAGGCAAAAGTTGCAGTTAGCTGAGATCACGCCATTGCACTCCAGCCTGGATGACAG